TAGTATTAACTAGACTGTTCAAAAATTGACAAGAACTAAATGGATAAGCCTGAAACTTTCACAGATGAATTTCGAAAGGTCAAAAATTTTATGTACAAAAAATGAAGTAAGGATGAAGACCAAAAAAGCATTTCTGAGGAAGAGCATTCTTAACTGCAATAGCGCCAATACATTCCCATATTCCAGCAATATTCCACCGCAGACATTGAAAAGCAAAAAACTTGGCAAGCAGCAGTAGGCCAGAACTATGAAAAACAGTGTTAGCGAGTTCTTTACAAACAGTAAATCTAATCGGCAAACTAAATGAAAAAGTGAGGTAATCATATGCAAGAATAACCTATCTCTTCCTACAGTTAGTAGAATTGCGCAAAAAACTACTCCGAACACTCTACACAATAACTTTACATATCTGTAACAAACAATTAGCAGAACTTAAAAAAGGAAAAAAAACGGTTTCCGAGCAAAACAAAGTTATTTCCAAATAAAAAATAGAAGTGAAGTCAGCCTTCACGTTTCCCAAGAAACATCTCTGCTATTACAACTCTCCCGTTACACTTTGACAAATATTTCGTCAAAAACAACAAAATTCAGTATAAGTTAACGACTAAAGTGATTCACGACTTTGGCGAATGGGATGAAGCCAAAAAGCTGATCGCTGCGTATAGCAGCCCTAATTTAAATGTGTGCCATTATTTTTATGGGCTCCCAGCCAACTGCTTTATCGCATCCTTTCAGTCTGCCTACAGATAACGGGTTTCATCCATCTGCTATGGATTCCATTCCTAATCGGAGCGGAGGGAGAGTATTTTGGCAAACTTCCAATTGGGATAATAGATGCATTTAGCATCTTCAAAATTTGATTTGATGGCTTTTAGTAGTTAACCGTTTTTTACTGCATTTCGGTGATACTCTGACAAACTGAGTGGATTGTTTATTGATTTATAAAAGTAACAGTTTTTTCTGAAATTTTGGTAAAACTTGGTTCATCTCTGATTCTTCTTTCGTTCTTGTGCTTACTAAGCTTCCTGTGTACTTTTTAACCTTGTAACATGTAGGATGGTGTACAGTCCTTGTTACTTTTAATGTTGTTACCATGAAGATTTCCAGGTTTTGTAGTGTTCTGTGATTTGAAAGATGTGCACATTGAAACACATTGGTTAACCTGATGGCTTTTGCTAGGTTTGCATACAATGGATTATGAAGCACTGTTAGTAGAGAGTTAAAGACTAAGCTTTAGGCCATCTCTCAGTAATCTTGAGCATAATCATTTTAATTATCACGTCATGAAGGTGTATATCTTGAGCAACATTGTTCAGTGGGTCTTTTATTTTGAAATTATGTCGAGGTAGACTGTCTCGTGTTTCAGATGGATTTCCAGAATAGAGCCGGAGGGAAAACAGGAGGCGGTGGTGTGGCATCGTGGTCAGACGCTAACGTGGACCGGCGAGAAAGATTAAGGCAACTAGCTTTAGAAACAATCGATTTACAAAAGGATCCTTATTTTATGAAAAATCACCTAGGTGGATATGAGTGCAAGCTGTGTTTAACACTACATAATAACGAAGGTATCTGATCTTGCATGAAAGTCTTTGTCCTTCTGACATAGTTGATAATACTGAAACGTAAAAATTTCCTTTGCTTCCAGGTTCTTACCTTGCCCACACGCAAGGTAAAAAGCATCAAGCAAATTTGGCTAGAAGGGCAGCTAAAGAAGCAAGTGACCAGCCTTATATGCCTGTACCACAACAAGCTAAGGTTGAGCCGAAAAAATTTGTGAAGATTGGACGCCCAGGTTACAAGGTCATTATTTAACATTTGGAACAAAATTTAGCATTGGTCTTTTGTTATTCTTTTTTACACGGCCTTCATTATGATTGCACAAATGCCAGGGCGCTAAAAGAGAACAGCCTCAAACTACAATTTTTACTCCTGACTCTCTTCAACCTTACTGTTGTTCTTTAAAGGTGACAAAAGAACGAGATCCAGCAACCGGACAGCAGGCACTCCTCTTCCAAATTGATTATCCAGAAATAGCGGAAGGAGTCGTTCCGCGTCACAGGTAATTGCTTATTGTCACTAGAGTGTAATTTCAATAAGGGACAACACCCCACCTGCAGGTTCATGTCCGCTTACGAACAGAAAGTTCAACCGCCCGATAAGAGATGGCAATATGTGTTATTCGCTGCCGAACCGTATGAAACAATCGCTTTCAAAATCCCATCAAGAGAGGTTGATAAGTCAGAAGACAAGTTCTGGACCTTATGGAACAAAGACACAAAACAAGTTAGTACTTTGCACCGAAAAACCCTTGTCACTTTAATGGACTTTGATGTTCCTTCCAAAGTTTCAAACTCCTGAAGGATTTTTGCTGCAAAATCTGTATTTCCAGTTCTTTATGCAATTCGCATTCCGTATGGATCGTGTCCCGCCTAGAGATGAGCCGCCACCACCCCCTCCTGCGGCTGTGATGATACGACCAGCTGGTGTTCCGCCTCCAATATTTTTGCCCCCTCCATTTTAAAAATTTCTTCATGCTTAAATTTCATGCTCATTTGTCAGCTTCCCTGTCTTTCTTGATCGTCAGTATGAATGACTTGGACTTCTATTGAATCTTTGTTGACTCAGGCACGCGCCAAGGATCTCTCGCTGCGACTTTGAATGCTTGTCCTGAAGCTTTCATAAGGTGTTGTCACAGTTCTCCATTGTTCCACTTATCCTTCGTAGATGTATATTTTGCAAAATGTACTGTGTGAGTATGCAAAATAACAAAGTTTACATGAAGATTTTTGGGTGGCAACTTGGTTTGTACATGGTGTGCTGTTGCAGCTTTATTTCAACGTGGAAAGAAGCAAAGGAATTTAAGAAGACCCCTTGAAATCTAAATGTTCCATAAATTCTTTCTTCTCTGTTAATATTTGGTAACTTTGAAGCATTTTTAATTTTCCTTTAAAGCGGGTATATACAATTTTGGTAGTTAGACTACAGAGGTTACGTATGGGAAAAGATGAGATTTCCAAAGCCGATATTAATTATACTCAACGGCAAAGCTGAACGAAAACTATGACCGTCCTTTGCTATTAATCACTGACGTCTTGCATTTTCCGCAGTCGAGAACAGGTGTGCATTTCTGCTGGACGGTGTCGAGAACATAGTCGTTTACCGCATCTGGATAAATTAATGAAATTTTATTCTTGTGCACTTTTCCGCAAACATACAAGATTCGTATATAAGCTAACATATCTAAACATTTAGAGGACGTACCTACAGTGGAAGGCGATTGAATAGTTGTTGAAGCGCGAAGAACATGTATAACAGCGGTGTTGCGATTGAAATCCGCTTGCCATTCTCTGCCCTCTTGACGTAGAAGGAAGACGGCGGAAAGCAAGATGAGATGGGTTTGTTTCTGTCCGCCGCGTATTCGAGCAGGCGTTATCTAACGTTCGACGAAGTGAGGGCATTTCATCGTCGCTTGACGTAATATCGGAGCCCTAAATTGAATGAGAGACAAATGCGGAAATTAAAAGATAATGCACACCTTAAAGTCCTAGGCTGAAACCAGTTACTGTAACGAGATTACATCTACACATCACGCAGAAGGCACGAGATGATCTAAAGTCTTTCACGTCGTTAGACTAACACTAATTGCAAAAAAGCACCTGTTGTTACTTTTTCCAATAAGCTTTTATTCTAAATAACGTTCCTCAAAACCCTTTTAAGCGTCTTGTTCTAAAATCTCGTCCCCGACATCAGTTTTGATCAATCATATGCAATTAATGCGTTTAGTGACAACGAAAAACCTCAATGTCCACAGCGTGAAATCAAAGCTTTACTGTTTTGAAAAAGTCAACATAAATTCTTAATATACATTGTGATGGTTCGAAATGACGAGAGACGGCGGCTTTGGCTTCGCTTTCACATGTGTTTTTTGAGTTCCATTACTACTATTTGCTACGTGGTGTCTGCGTCGTACACGTAGCCTTAAAACAAGATTTAAGAACATGCTTATTTTGGGGCACTTCCGAAGTGAAAGAAAAAACTGGTTACCAAAACGACATTTGAAACTTTTGGGCGACTGAAAAACCTACCTACGAAACTCATTGGTAAGGTCGCACACGACCATCCCGGATGAAAATTCAGAGCCATCTTCAGAAGGAGCATTAACATCAGTGGAAGGAGATTCCGCTCGAGAATGCATCATGACAAGTAAACGATCTCTAGCTGATAAAGCTGTATCACGTGCAGTATACTGTTCTTCTTCACACAGTTCAGCTAAATTACGTCAGTGAAGATATGGCTTAAAAATAAAAGTTGCTCAAAAGCAACAGCACTGCGTCTCAAGGAGACTTTCAGAAAATTAAAAAAAAATTCCAGTAATGCAAGGCTACATCAACCTTTCGTTGAACTATGGCGTTCTCTTCTGCTAACATTCTTTCCACAGGAAGGCATAAACATAATGGAAACCTGAAAAATAACTCACATATATTGGATTCCAAAAAACTACTCGACAGGTAAAGCATTCATGCCTTTTCTGGTGTTCCAGTTGGAAATTTCTCCTCATCGCATTCTGTATCACCGGCAGAGCTTTCTTTGGCACTGGTGTCTTCAGGAGCTGAAACCACAATGCCTCCCTGAAAAAAAAAAAAAGAAATAATCTACCAATACATCCAAATAAAATTATATGCTTTCAATAAAGCAGTTCCAAGAAGGCATTCTCCGTGATAATGGTAAAAAGACCTGCTTCAGGAAAATTGAAGCAACGGTATTTTTGCAAGAATCTTTATAAACTTAGCACAAGTTTTAAACCCATTACGTAACACTCTTACAGTTACAAGTCATTTATAAACAAAAGCGCATCTTGCTACAACGAAAAAAAAATAAAAGATAAAATGTGATGCAAGTGGCGAATTAGTAATTTACAATAACTTAAGGATTATACTGTACTTTTGAGCTTAAAGTCGTTTTTTTTTTTTAAAGAATTTTGGGAAGAAGTTGGGACTCTTTCCAACTGGTAAAAAATAATGGGAAAAAATGAATCCTCACAAAATGCTCTGAAGATGGCCTCGCCGAAGAATGAGTACGCATTTGGCGACGAAGTTCGCACATTTTGAATAGAGTGCGTCTGTTTTCTTCCAAAAAATCTTCACTGGAATCTTGTCCACCATCCCAACATTCAGATGAACACCTAAATGATGTTAACTTCGATATTGATAAACTAGATTCGAACCACGCAACTGCCACATTAATACATCAAATATGAATGAAGCAATCGAGAATGATATGCACCTTTCATCACTCACTCCAATTTCTATCTGACTACTAGGCTCATTTGTGTGCTGAATAGCCATAGGACCGGAACGTGTTACTAAGACAAGACGAACCAGTGAATCTGCACGAATTCCCAAATCCTTGAGTAGAATTCTATCATTCCCATCAGGCAATGAATTATTACCGAAAATCAAACCTTGATGATAAGGCAGTAATCCACACCGTCTCCATATCTTGCTCTACAAAAATATATAAACAGTTCCTTCCAAAAACCGTAGCAATCATAAAACTTATAAAAAATTTGAAATTAGTCACGCTAAATATTCTAAATATATTTCTATATCACAAATGAAAAATTGGAAGTTATGAAGTATGCTGACGGCGACTAAAACTGAATTTTGTTAATCACTTAGTGACCCGAGCTGCAGAATGAAAGGTAAGTATAAAAACCACATGATTGCAAAATGGAAAAATGTATTAAAGTCAAAAACCTTCAAAGTTTGAACAGTTTCAGCCTCTGAGATTGTTTCAACCCACTTTTGGCCCGTTACTGAAGAAATAAATATACGTAATGAAGGAGGCCGTGCACTGCTGCTTGGAATTGAACAATCATCTTCGCTTGGGCTCATTTTTGACTGACTGCAGTTGTGATTTGAAACAAGGAGATTAATTGCGACGATGAACTCACTGGGACTTCTAAAATGATATGAAAAAACTCAAAAAAAGCTTCAAATGAGAAAGCAAAAAGAACCCAAATCAATAATAAAAAGACATTTATAAAAATTCTTAATCTTTTTTAGCAGTATTTCAGTTTATCAAATCACTGCAAAAATTCCCATCTTCATGAATCAGGTTGAAAGTTTATACAACAGCAAGCACTGATTTAGCCGGTTATTACTTATTACACAAAATCACATATTACAATTATTTCTTTAACAACTTGCAAAGTGCCACAATACAATTTTCATCAAAAACGATCTTGTACAGGGTTGGAAAATAACGATTCAGAAATGATGCAACTTAAAAAAACCAGATGCAAAAAAAATCTTAAAATAAATCACCAGCCTATCGAGTATTCGCATGTACAGCTGTGGAAATCACTGCGAAAATAGCGCAGTGGTAGAAGTTTTTTGGAACAAGAAAACAAACAGCAAACAACAATGCTGAAAATCAATAAAGAGATGTAAACACCATTCCGTATCTGTACACTCTTTATCCAATAAGCTATTATACTGCACGCTAACATATGATTACCATCTCACCAACTCTCTCAAATCATTACAGAATTATCTGTTTTTTAGCAAAATTTTTTAAAGAAGGATTAATAGGCTTCTGGAAAATTCAATCTAAGATGTTCGTATAGCGCTGTCATGCATAATAAGCTAAAAGATTACAACAACCTCTATAAGTCTAGAAGACTAGCCTGTCAATGCAACTAATTGATGCGAAAAACTGCTGTCAATGCTAATAACAGTATAATCTAAATTTTTGATATGAACTCCCAAAATCAGACAATACTAAAAAAGTAAAGTCGGAGCTCGTTGTCATCAAATGTTACGATTAGAAGGTGGAAAAATGATTTATCTTCTACTTTAACTATATCATCTATATGTTCAGAAATGTTTTTCTAGATAAGAGAAACCGAAAAATTATTTGGAAAGATGGAAACAAACCCTGAGACCACGCTTTAACCGTGTAATAGTAAATGATGGGCGGAGCTACAACGATTTTTCCCTCACCCAGCACTGAAGCGTCGCGTATTAGACCAATAGGGTTAAAGATGATTTACCTGACCTGTAAACAGCGCGAAATACACAATGACAAGTCATTTCTCACCGTCCAAATCATTATTTTACTCCAAAATAGCTGCAAACTCTTTGAGTATTAGTGCTTTCCCTCAGAACAATATAACTGTCGCGAATGAGAACTGACACTGGTAAATGCGTACTTAACTAACTTGTAATCTATGATTCGTCATTTCACAGTTTCAAAAAAGCCTGTTAAAATAATACAAATGTTCAGCATCAAAATCTTCTTAAAATTCTTTGGATACTTTCATGTACTTATAGGAGTTAACGGAGCATCCGAAAATAGCAAAAAATGTGAGGTTAGGCATATTTAATTAAATGAATTAACCCACCCGGTATCAAAAGTACCCAATAAACATTAAATTGAACTACTTCTCAGTGGTAAATCTGCCGCATTCTCGACTAATCTTTTTTTCAAGGCCACGTTTTCCAAAAGTTTTGAGTATTCGATTCTGATTTTTTCCTCCTTAGCTTGTTGCTGTCCGACAAATACCTTGACAGTTGGCAGAACACAATCACAGGTCAATCTTGGCCCAAATATGAATCAATGAATATAAAGTTCGTTAACCGACATCAACTTCTTACTCCTTGAGCACCTCACATTATAATTTTCGGAACATTATCCTCCTAATTCGTTACAGCCAAACACCACTACGATCAAAACTCAAAAACATCTCCTTCTTACCCAGAATAAATGCTTTCAATTCAAGAAATTCAGCAACACTTCTAATCCTTACAAACGACTAGTGATTAAAGGAACCACCTTATTCGACGACTGCAATGTTGTTTTAAAATTTTAAAATTTTATTAAAAAATATAAAGTGAAACCAATTACGATATTAAACCGGCTACCGTTAAAAACAAACAGCGCCTAGCCTCAACTACACGAATAATTCATAGAGCTCAAGAAACTTAAGAGGCGCTATACGGCAACATATCTTAAAAGTTGGAAATCAAGTTAAATTATAAAATTTTTAGTTGTTAGAGAGTACTACTTGAGTTAAAAGTTGATGAAAAAAAAACTGGCTGCAAAAAAGCTGTAACTCCTAAAAGAGAAAATAATACATCCTAAAAATTTCAAACAAGGGAAAGATACAGCCAAAAACCAACTTAAACCGAGAAAACTCTTGAAATCACATGACCGGCGTTCCAAATGGGTGCAATATCTATAAATAATACTTATTGGTTTTGCTTTTAACAATTTCCTCTCTATTTTATACAAATACTATACCTACAGAGCAGAGCCTGAATCAATAAAATAAAAAATTTGAAAAATTTTCATTGCCATTGTGCCTGATGCTCAACGTCTATCATTCCCGTGAAAAGACTACTTTACGCCAATTTTGACAGAGGGTCAACAAGTATCACAGTAAATGTTACCATACCAAAACTTCACCAAGCATAAAAATTTTTTTTCCAAAATTCACAAAATAGGAAAAAATTGCAGGTTGATTTCAGATGATCAGTTGATTATCTGGCGTACTGTTTCGTATGACATCAAAAATAAATAAATAAGTAAATTAAAAACTGGAATTATAATAAGTTCACACTGATGTGATACAAGGTAATTTATTGTCACTGCTTAGGCAATTGAAACTGTTTCAAGTGAAATACAATAAAGTGAAAAAATTGAGCAGGAAAGCAAGTACTTCGACAGCCACTTTTTATAGCTGCAAACTTGTTTCAACAACAGCAACAACAAATAATCACAGCCACATGTCAAATATAAGACGGCCAATAAACTAAAGTTCATTTACTGCAGAAGTTCGTTATGTGTACAAATGACTGGCAAAAAATACAAAACCACTATCGGAGACAAAAGTCGGCGCATTAAAAACGCACACAGTCCATACTCTGTTTCGTCTTTCTCCCAAGCGAGCAATTATCGGACTTGGAAAGCTGCCAACTGCCCGTCTTGGACACTAGAACTTTATTTTAATCTTCTGTAGTACCAGGCTTTCCGAGATCGCTTCCATCCTCCACCTTATAATCATCTGTTTATCCGTTTATGATTGCTGGATCTGTGTAATTTTTTTTGAACACGCAATTGGAGAATGCTTCTCCGAGCAGGTTATGGAAACAGCAAAGTAAAGGTGCATTCATTGTCACTGTTGCTGTACTGACAACTGGAACATCTTTTATTTGTAAAATTTACTTCATCACTTTTTTAAATCCCTTTCTGTTAGGGGGATGAAGAGTGATTGCCAAGTGCAGATGCTGAAAGCGATCAATAAGCGATAATTGCAGCGAGAGAACGAAATGGTTGTTAAGTGTTTAAACAGATTCTGAGGTTACTGTTAAATTCTATCCTTTTCTGCCCAGATTGCTGAAGAGAGGGAGAGAGAACAGGGACACTGGAAGAACGAATTTTTTTTTTTGGTGCACCTGAACTAAGTGTTGTATTTTATTACAATTTGAGGCAGGACAACTTGATGACTAACTAGCAATTTATCTAGCATGATTGTCTTAAACAGCTATAAAATTTTGTCTGAGTTTCATCCCATGGAGAAGTGGAACAGTATGTATGTATATCATTTTATCACTACGTGCCAACGATAATGACAAAAGCTCTGTAGTCTTCTTGCTTTGTTGAGAGTCGGCTTGCTGTATGCTTTTTGAAAACTTTGGGTTTTATTCATTTTTTGGACTTTTTCTTCAAGATTTTAGAGAAGGGTTTTCTGAAGATAAGAAAGAATTTGAAAAGTTTTTTGTTTTGAGTAGTCACAGTGATTGAATTACGGAATTTGTGATTAGTATCGTGTCTTTGTCCTGAGGTTTTGATACTGATTTCAGAATTCAGATTTCATTTGAATCTCTTTGTCTTGCTTTTCTGCAATGAGCGAGGAACATGTGCAAAGCTACATAGCAGAAGCTGAAGCACGTTCCATTGCCCAATTAAATGATAGAGCGTTGATCAGCGATGCAATACCGTTGGCTGAAGATTGCCTGCGGAAGATGGACAGTACGCTAAAGCGTACTACAGCGTTCATGAAAAAATTAAGGAATTTGAACACTGCACAGTATGACGCAATTATCGCTGATCTTGAAAAGGTGAAAATTACTTTTTTGGGAGCTTAAAAATGCCTATTTTTAATGTGTATGATAAAATAATGCTCCTTTTTCCTGCAGCAGTTGATTAGAGCTTAAAGTTTATTAAATAATGCAGAAGAGCAGTCTGTTTTAACAAATAAAAACATTTGTAGGTAAATCTTTCAAAATATATTGAAGAAATGGCAAATTCGATCGCAGAAGCTAAACTGAAGATCAGCGATTTGCCATCTGTTATATCAATTTGTGTGAAGCTAGCGTGCCTCTATAACGAATTTCCATCGCAACTGCTTTCGGAATTTAGGCGCATTCTTCCAACAAAACGTTCAGATAAAATTCTCAACCCTTCCAAACTTCGTGTTGATCTCAGGCATTTGACTTTCATAATACAGAGATTATTATTTTTTCGTTTTTTTTTTTTTTTTTTTAAGTGTTTTAATTGTAATTGATAACATTAGTTTTCTAAGTAATGATGGCGCGTTGTTTCAGACTAGTTACCGAATTGTGTTTACATGGTGTGTTTTTCAAAGAAGGCATCCAGGTGCTTGGGTCTGTAATATCATACATAACGCTTACAGACAAAACTGAGCATGTAAATGTGCCAATTGTTGCTTCTCTCTGCAAAGCGCTCGGGCTAGATCTGTTAAATATCCATCCTTACTCAGTGCAGCAGGTAAAGCTAGTATAAGATGTTTTAACTGATTGTTGGGAGTGTATATTTATATATGCAAAGCGTTGCTTTTCTTGATTGTAGCATGGTATGTCTTGGTTTGAGGAATAGTTTTAATTTAGGAAGCTATGAAGCTCAGTATTGAATTGCCTTCTCCCACTGTTTTGCCTGTAGAGCAGAAGAGGATTTTTGCTCAGCTGTTTTTAGACTACCGAAAGACACTTGTAGAACATGTGCAGAAGGTATTATGGTTTCTTTGCAAAGGGTTAGAAATTTTGGGAACTTTAAAATGTTGTGATTTATTTTTTAACAAACCATTTAAGGCTTTTTAATGAGTGGGTTACGATTCATATATTTTTTAGGAACTAGCTGAAGTAAATCGCTTAACACGGTCGGTGAAACGACAAATGCGGACTAGAGGAGATGCTTCCGCTGATGACTTTGCGCATCTGAAAGAAGCTAAAGGACGGTATTTGAAACAACTACAGAATGCTGCAAACCTAAGTGAAATTTTAGGTGTTGAAATGGAATCTATGGAAGAAGAGCAGGTTTTTTTAAGGTCATTTTGTGGATGTGAGACTTGGATTAAGATGAAAATTTCAAGCTCTATTTATAGAGTGAAGATGAAGAAGAAGAAATTTCTGCACAGCAGTTAGGACGGGCTTTGGAAGAAGGTACAGTGTCTGTTTGGCCAGATGAAGATACTCGGCAGTTCTATGAGTCAAGGATGGAATTAAGGGAGATGGTTCCTGCAATTTTGTTTGAGGTTGTGTTGAAGTAGATTGACTAATACAAGCAAAATAATTCAAATTAGGTGCAAAAGGTGGTTGTATTCATATTTGGTCTCTTGTTTTTGAAAATGAGCCAGGTAAAATGGGAATTTTTGAATGGGGGCAAAACTGAAGGGAAATTGAAAAGGAGGAATGCGTCATGAAAGAAAGGTTTTTTTTAATCTTTGCTGTTCACTGAGCCGGTGTGTTCTGTAGAGTGGTGCAAATAAATTGCTGCTTCCTTTATTTATAGTAAGAATTTATGGATTTAAAGTGTAGTATTATAATTGGCGTTTTAGGTGCAGAGACAAAATGCAGTTTATTACAAATTGAAATCTCAATTTTGACTTTTTTAAACTGCTACTTAAACCTAACAAAAGAAATATTTTACCTTTTTATTTGTTTGGTGTTAAAAAAAGTGGCTGGTTGCATCTAACTAAATTTTTGCCCTTTGAATTTTCTTATAATTTCTTCAAGAGTTTTTTAAACAAGTTTTTTAGGAGTCGGAACAGCGTACGCTTGAGCCAGTTGGTGGCACGATAGAAGAAGTTGACGTTACTGGCCTTGATGATATTCCTGAGGGCGATGAAGAACAGGAATTAGATGCTGATGAAGGTTACTTTTTCCAGACTTTGCAGACATATGGTACTTTGGAAGTTTAAGATTTTGTGCACAATCTTGTTTGGATTTTACGAATTTTAGAAGAAGAGCCAGTGGAGTCATCCAGCGAAGTGGTTGAAGTAGCTGATAAGCTTGCTAAAATTTCTGGGCAAACATTGAAATTAATGATGACCTCTTTTGTGGAGCAATTACCATGGTTAATTAACAGAGATCTTATTGATAAAGCAGCTTTAGATTTTGTCACCAACCTTAATACAAAGAAGAATAGGAAGAAGTTATGCAAAGGTTAGCTTCTTTGAAGATCATTTTATAAGATCTCCATTGCTGCACTAAAAAAATTTGATAGTTTTCACTGTTTCCTTTTTCTTCACATACGGTAAGACTCCTCGGCCATTTCCTTTGTTGTAACTATGGCTACACAACTGCTTTTGAAATTTTTTTACACACGTTGTTTTAAACGAAAATTTTTCTGATTTTCTGCTTTCAGTGATGCTAGAAGAACATTGCGATCGTCTTGATCTTCTCCCATTTTACGGGCGTTTAGTTGCCACACTAGAGCCTGTCATGCCTGATCTAGCTGTTGAGCTATCACAGTCATTAATCCAACAATTTCGTATGATAGTTAGAAACCAATCCAAATTAAGAGTTGATCGGAAAGTTCGTTGTTGTAGATTTATTTCTGAGCTGGTAAGTTGCTGCCAAATTTTTATCACTCTAATTCTTTTGAACAAAAGTTTTTTTTTTTTATTTCTTTAGGTTTAGGTAAAATTTGGTGTTATTCCAAAAGCTCAAGCTCTTTCTTGCCTTCGTATGGTGCTTTTTGATTTTCGTGGTGCTAATATTGATATGTGCTGTGCTATGATCGATTCTATGGGGCCTTTTCTATATCTTTCGGTTGACAGTCATGGAAAGATGAAAGTTTTTCTGGAAGTTATGATGAAGAAAAGAGAGCATGTTCGGGATTCTCGCCAACAGGTAAGCTTTTAATATAACTAATGGCCTAGTGTTATTCTTTATATCGTTATTTTACGTAATGAGAGAATTTTTTGAAGTTGAATATCCGAAGTGGCTTGTCAGTGTTGGGTTTAAATAATTTTTATGAGTTTTTTACTAATGAAGTTTAAAGATGCTGATCGATAATGCTTATTACACGTGTATTCCCCCAGAAAAGAAAGAGGTTCCTGCTTCTAGAAGACCACCCGTTCATGATTTTATTCGGTTTTTGGTAGTGAATCTTGTCCGATCTCGTGTTGATACTACGGTTAGATGTCTTAGGAAAATAGATTGGGAGGATGAAGAAATATCAGGTTTATTTTTTTAGTATTTTGCAATCTTTTGAAAGTTAAAATTTTTTGTTTGTCTTTATAATCGTTTTTTTAGAGTACGCTATCTGTTGTTTAAGTTCGCCTTGGCTTTTGAAATATAGTAGTCTGCCATACCTTGCTTCAACAATTGCGAGATTAAGTTCCACTCACGATTTTGTTGGTATTTTTTGTGAACTTATTTGAACTTAGAATAATACTCCACGAACAGTTTCTCACCCTGAAATTTCTTGATTGATCTAATTTTTCATTTTTATTAAACTTAGGGAACGGTTATAGCGTCGTTTAGGAGTTCGAGTTGTTGACAATATTTTGGAAGTAATTAGAGTCAGCTTGGAAGCTAATACTCCTGCAATGCATCAAAGAACGTTGCTCGCAGTTGTGTTCCTCGGACAGTTGTACAACTACATTGTTTGCGACTCGCCTATAATATTCAAAGTTAGTAGCCTCTAGCCTTTTTACCAGAATATTCTTAATGATTTATTATTCATATTTATTATCAATTTCTTCAGACCCTCTATCAGTTAATAACATTTGGGGCTTTTGATCCTGTGATAGATGACTGGAATAATTTAACTCGTATAAGACTTGTTTGTGAACTGCTTCTCACATGCGGAGAATATTATAATGGTGGTGCTGCAAAAAAAAAGTTGGACTGTTTCCTTGTGTTCTTTTTCCGGTATTATTTGGCTAAAGTGGAAGCATTCAAAGCTCGAGATCTGCCATTCCCAAATGAAGTATACTACTATTATGCTAGCAAAACCTTTGTTCTAAATGTAACTGGGACGTCATAGATGGCTTTTAATGCCACATTTCTCATCTTATTTTTTTTCTGTTGAAGGGAAAGGACTGACATTGTTGCACTCTTTAAAACTGTTTTTCTTAAGGTTACGTTCTGTGTGCAAGAAATGAGTGATTTCGTTCGGAAAGATATCAAGATCCCAGAAACTTTTACCGAGGCCCAGACTGCAGTTGACGAGATCTATGAAAAGTACAAACAAGCGGTATTTCATAATCGTTTTAATCACATCCCAATTATCTAAATCTCTTTTTTAACCATCTAAATTCTTAATACATTGTAAATTGTGGTTGGTCAGTTTTTTTTAAATTCCTTTCAAATTGTAATCTTGGTTTTATTACTCACTTAACTGTAGTTTTAAATTCTGTTGCCTGTTTTTGTCATGAAATTTCTTTCCTGTCACTGTTTGTCTTAGATCGATCAAGCGTCAAATGATGAAGACCGTGGTGAGACAGAAGAAGAGGAAGAGGAGGAAGGAAGAAGAAACAAAATTGATGCTGATGAAAGAACTATTGGTCCAATTACCGAAGAGGAGTTGAGCAGCAGGTATTTAACTTAATTTTTTTAGTTTAGACTTTCCGTGTTGTTGGAAAGTCTTTAAATATTAATTTCGTCTTATTTCTAACTTTTATTTTATTTTGCTCCTGTTTGAAAGAATTTTTGACTGGATTGCAAATCGACTCTAATTTTTTTTATTTTTCTGCTTCTTCTATCATCATTTCACTTGAAGAGCAGTCAAACTACGAATGAAGTCATTACTTAAAGGACACCTAGGATGTTTTTTGCATTTAATATTGATTGTCTTTGACTTTTTATGGAAAAGAATTTTCTGCATTTTTCATTACATGGACTTAGTAGTTTGTCGTGTCTTAGAAAAAAGTGTTTGTTTTTATAAAGTAGGTGTGAAGTTCCAGTATCTCGTCTTTTTATGAGCGATGTTAAAATGCATAAGATCGTCTGTGAATTAAATGAATATTAAATGAATTAAATGATTTGGGTTGCCAGTTATCTAATCTCATATATCTGCCATGGTAGGAAAATGTCTCTAGCCTTTAATCTGAATGTACAGCGAAGTGAATTTAGAGTTCCAGTTTTTGATTTTTTTTATAAGATAAAACCCTGGTAGTTGTTTTTAGTAAACTGCAGCTTAAAGCTTATTTCTACTGACCTACTTTTATTTCGCTTTTTTTTCTTTTTTCGAATTTCTTTGCTTTCTTCTTATTCTCTCTTTAGTGGCGTAAAAATTTATATACAAAAGTGACTTTTTACATCAGTAAAAAATGGAGTTTTGTATTACCTTTTAATACTTCCGCACTGTTGCTTTTCAAATTTTGTTCTACTGGTGGATGTAGTTTTTGATTTAAATTTGTAAATGCGTCGCTGGAGGGGAAACGGAAGGTGGTTTTCCCACTGACGTCACGTAATTCTTACAGCTCATCTGTCTTCTTCATCAGTTTTTGTTAAACTGTTAAGTTTTCGATGATTACATTTATTGATCTTTCAATTCTTAGTCACTTCTAACAGTTTTTTCTTGGGTTTTTTGAAACTGTTTATATTATCATTGTATTCAGGCTAATACAGAACATTTTCCTCTCTCCTGTGTATCCAAAATTTTGTCTACCATTATCTCTTTTTTTTAAACTCCTTTTAATCTGAGATCGATTTATTTTATTCTTGAAGTTTTACACATTTGATTTTAGTATTACTTTCAAATGTGTTTTTATGTTCAACTTCAAAAAAAATTTTGGCGTAATCAGTTAGAAAGTGAATCGCAAGAAGATCTAATTCTTTAATTTTACTCAAGAGAGATATTTTCTGAAATTTTAAGACTGGAAAAATGGGCAGTTTAGCACTCTTCTAGCAGAATCTCTGACGATTTCGCTTTTGAAAATCATAATATTACCGAGAGCATTGTTTCACAAGATTTTGATAGATGATTGCTCTTTAGCAACTGTTTTTATGGCAGTTTAGCACTCCTGTAGCAAAATCTCTTGTAATTCATTGACATTAAATAATTTTTTTGTGACGGGTCTTGTTGGTATTGAAGATGTAAACATGTGTTTTAATTTTTTTGCTTAACGTTTCTCTTTTATCATTGAACATTTTACAAGCTACCAATTACTGTGTAGGAAAATGTTAAGAATTAGATTCCTTAAAGAACAGTTATAGGTTTAAAAAATAAAACTTTATATCTGTCAGTTCAACCTAATATTGAATTTTTTTTTGACATTATTTCGAAATGTAAAATTGAGAGGAAGATTACTATCGAAAGAATTTTTAGTGTCAATAAGTCATTACTTACAAACTATTAAAAGCGTTCAGGATTCTGAAACATCTTTATAACTGCTATATTATCGTGCTAACTGGATTTAAGATATAAAGCTCTTGAAAGGTCAAATGGGAAAATTTCATCGTCATTTTCCCAAGTAATTTTTAGAAGTCTGGATGCAGTTTGAAAGGATTAGCAAGGCATTTATACTTCAGTCGGGTGTGAGAACGTTTTTTATTCAGAGGTGCAAAGAAAGAGCAGATGACGGTTTTATATTAGTAACATTTATTTTGGTTCTACATCATTCAAAACCTGAGACCATTAACAGTATCGTCATATTTTACAGTTAAGAAAGTGACCCGTATTTGTTGTTAAAAAACTGTTTAAATTTACAGTTTGCTTTTTTTTTTTCAAAACAAATTTGAGATAGCATACTGTATCGGACCGTGTAGTCAAAAATAGGAAATTTTTTTTTGGAGGAGGGGAGGAAACACTACACGTCTTCTTCCAGAACAGAGCGACCGAATGATGCTGTTAAATTAAGGCCAGCTAAACTTTCGCATAAACTTCGAAACCTTTTAGTGAAGAAGCGGGTGCATCGTTCTATGATGAAACTGAAAATGTACGTGTCCATACAAATCGTGTAAAATTGCCAGAAGATGAACAGTTTGAGCGCCAGTTGGAGCAGTTAGTAACTGAAACAATGCAGGTATGAAAATGAATGATCTTCAGATAAGACCTTTGTAACTTTGTGTATCTTGAGAGACTGGCAGCATGGCGGGATACGTTTTTCAATTTCTGAATTTGATGAACACCATGTATCTTTGCTTAAGTTTCCATTTTCATACCTCTTCAGTAGGTAGGAGAATAATATTGAAAGGTATAGTTAAGGTTTTCGTTTGGAATCGTACAAAAAAATAGGTATGGCCGACTGTGCAGAACTTTGAATAAAGTACTGGTAGAACACACTCTACCAAAATTTTAAGGGATTGGATATATAACGTAGATTTTTCCAATAAATTACTCGAGCTGTTTAGAGTCGCCCAACTCCGAATGCAACCCCGATGTCTGAAATAGTTGTGCCGACGGCAGCAAGGCAAAAGTTTCACAGGGTACTAGCTTTTGGTGAGTTTTTTTGAAAGTATTAGGTAGTTGGAGGCTTGTTGGAACTGTGAAAGGTAAAAATTTAAAATTATAAATGGCAGAAAGCTTACAGTTGACAACAGCAATAATATAAGCGGACCGGCTGAAGGCAGCGTACAGGAGACGAAGATGGCTATGTTGACTCGTGGGAAAGGAAACAAAGCGGCTAGTTTTTCTACTTTTTAGCCTTTCGTTCGTCAACAATATAATCAGCTGATTGAAGCAGATAAGCGATTTAGCCACGTACGTTTTACGATAATTATCTCATTCTTTATGTTTTTTGTTGTTTTTTAGATACTAAAAGCAATTACAATGGCGACTCCAAGCAACCTAGTAGAATCTTGGAATGCTCAGCAAGAACAAGAGCGTCAGGAATTATCGCTCCATAAACGTATTACGTTGACGATGAATGAACGTATGGCAGCAGAAGAAAATTCTGATTAATGGTGCTTTTTTTCTTTGTTTCCAGTTGTGGCTGACTGTTGGTTATGCATAACATTGTATGCAGGAAGTACCTCATGAAGAAAAAAAAGATGAATAAACGGGAAAGCAGTATATTGTTTCCTCTAGCTGACACCTTAATGATTGATGACTTAGCGTTTAACGTTATAATTATTCAATAATTGCTGAGGAAAGGGGATTTCAGCTGCAGAATTTTAATTTTTAAAGCAGTCCTCAAGTCTATCGAAAATCATAAAATTGCAGCAAATGTAAAAGAACAAGACAGAGATGAATATAAATAGTTTTAGATCTGAGTTTTGTCGATACATTACATAGGTCAAATGTGCAAACGCATGTTCGTTGTGGTGTCCGACGTTCATAAATTTGACCGTTTTGAATACTGCGTGTATAGACTGGTTCAGTTTTACAGGCAATATGATGAAAATTTTTTTGATAATCACACCCAGAGCCAATCCAAAAGTAGCCGTTACCCATATGCATTACAACTTTGACACATGCATCCTGATCTGGGTTACATCTGATTGCTTCCATTGGACATGATGGTTCAGTATTTCGTGCTGATATTCGAAATTTATGTAGTTCAGTGATTTCGTCCTGATTGTTGACGCAGGTCATACAGGTCAATGTCTGTACCTCAGTGATTGTTAAATGGAATAAGAGTATTAGTAGTAGCAGGAAAGCGTTTGAACGCAGCGTTGCCAAAGTCAAAATTAACACTTTCACTGTTCGTTTGATGATGATTTTTGCTGATGTCGTTAGGCGGCAGTTGAAGACATATCTCATTTCAACGCCTTCAGCTCAACAACGATAACACCGACAAAACGGTAACAGTGGCAGCAGCAGCAGCAATAGCAATAGCACCAGCGGCAACAGTAACAGCAACGACAACAGCGATATAGCACATTTAACTGTCAGCAGTGTTTTTCTTTTTTTACGTTTTACTTTCCATCGGCTCACTG